AGAAAAGAAAAGAGAAAAGAAAAGGTAAGTTATATAGCTTATTTCAAAGTCACATAATTTCAGAAAGGAAACTGAAGATCAAACTAAACCTGGCCCTCAGGGTGTTATTAGTATGCAGTTATTATACATGGCCAGCATGGTGGCTCACGCCTGTAATCCCAGCACTTTGGAAAGCTGAGGCAGTTGGATCACCTGAGGTCAGGAGTTCAAGACCAGCCTGACCAACATGGTGAAACCCTGTCTTTACTAAATACAAAAAATTAGTCAGGCGTGGTGGCACATGCCTATAACCCCAGCTACTTGGGAGACTGAGGCAGAAGAATCGCTTGAACCCATGAGGTGGAGGTTGCAGCGAGCCAAAATTGCACCATTGCACTACAGACTGGGCAACAAGAGTGAAACTCCATCTCAAAAACAAACAAACAAACAATAAAAAAAAAATAGCTGGGTGTAGCGGGGCGTGCCTGTGAACCCAGCTACTAGGGATGCTGAAGCAGGACAATTGCTTGAAGCCAGGAGGAAGAGGCTGCAGTGAGCCAAACCTGTGTTGGTAACACAAGTCACCAACATTTAAAGAAAATATTCAAAACGGAAAATAGCTCTCACCATTAGCATAGTCTCAAGCAATGTAAGTGAAAAGTTTAAAAGATTTGCACAAGCATTCTAAAGGCTATACACTAAACTTATCTATAGTTGTGAACCACATAATATTTTGGTCAGCGATGGACCACATATTCGATGATAGTCCCATAAGATTATAATAGACTACCCTATAACAGGTATACCTTTTTTTTTTTCACTGTACCTTTTCTACGTTTAGATACACAAATACTTATCATTGTGTTATAGTAGTTAATGTAGTCATGCTGTGCAGGTTTGTAGCCTAGAAGCAAGCAACAGGCTATATACCATACAGCCTAGGTATATAGCAGGTTATACCATGAGTCCCTAACCCCCGGGCCATGGACCATTACCAGTCCATTACCAGTCAGAGGCGGTATTAGATTCTCATAGGAGACCTAACCCTAACCCTGTGAACTGTGCATGCGCATGCGTGCAGTTGTATGCTCCTTATGAGAATCTAATGATAAATATAGTACACTTGAATCATCCCAAAAACACCACCCGCCCCCTGCCGATCCATGGAAAAACTGTCTTCCACGGAACCAGTTCCTGGTGCCAAAAAGCTTGGGGACCACTGGGCTCTACCATCTAGGTTAGTGTGAGTATACTCTGTGATGTTTACACAATGGTAAAATCACCTAATGATGCATTTCTCAAAACATATTCCCATCACTAACTGACAGATGACTGCATTTAGATTATGAAAAGACACAGAGCTATATTTTTCCCTAACTGGTATCCTTTTGTGCCATTCTGTATTCTTAATTTGAAACAAAATTTTAGGACATTATCTGAATCAAAGGATCACCAGGACAGATGAGCCTATCATTTTTGTCAACACTGGCTAGCTATCCCATGTGGATGGTAGTTCCTGGCAGCATTGTACAAGCCAGGTGAGAAAAGTTTATATATATATCAACTCTGCATTTATTTAATACCACAAGAGAATCAGTTACTCTGCATTTATTTAATACCACAAGAGAATCAGTTACTTGAGACAGCAATTTCATCTACAGGAGCAAAGACACAAATTGATAGACACCACAGTAAAAGTTTTCTAATCCAAAGGAGGTTAGTTCTTCTCTGCTTCATAGATACAACTTGACAACAGTTCAGGAAGTAAGGAAGCGGCTATTATTTTCCAAACACACATCCAGATCCAGGTTGGGAAAACAAGTTAAGTATTTGCCTATTTGTGGTATGTACAGCTTGTGCTAACAGATAGAACATGAAAACATGTGAAGTGTCAAGCCTCAGCACTTTTGTCCCAAGCTCACCTGAGTTGATGGCTGATTCAGAATAGGCAGTCTCTCCTCAATCCTGTCTAGCCCCTTACAGGCATAGATATTGGCAACTGCAACTAGAATCACAAATGGGAAAATGTTAATGTAGTACTGTAGCTGTAGAATGAACACACATTACCATACCTTATACTTTTAGCCTTATTTAAAAAATGGTAAGAATGAGCCGGGAGCAGTGGCTCACGCCTGTAATACCAGCACTTTGGGAGGCTGAGGCGGGCGGATCACAAGGTCAAGAGATCGAGACCATCCTGGCCAATGTGGTGAAACCCCGTCTCCACTAAAAATACAAAAATTAGCTGGGCGTGGTGGCGTGCGCCTGTAGTCCCAGCTACTCGGGAGGCTGAGGCAAGAGAATTGCTTGAACCCGGGAAGCAGAGGTTCCAGTGAGCCGAGATTGTGCCATTGCACTCCAGCCTGGGTGACAAAGCGAGACTCCATCTCAAAAAAAAAAAAAAAAAAAGGCAAGAATGTTGATCTTATACAACAGAATGCATTGCCTGGTTTCTCTAGCTCTGACAGAAAGAGGCCTGGCAAGTTGCTGGCAACTCTCTTCTACAGATAAGGAAATATGGGGGTATGAGGGAGGAGCAGGCAGAGGCAGTGACAGGACAAACAGGAAGCTGGCTCTGAAGCTTCTTCCTCATCAACTGGCCCCTAACGTTAATGCCAGGAGTATCCAGGCTTTCCCTGAACTCTCATTCAGAGAATAAGGTATCTGGAAACTCTCTTAAAGTTGGTATTCCCGAGCCAGTTTAATCCCTACCTACACTTACTTCAGCACATGTCAGTGTATTTAGGGTTCTCACTAGGAAAGAGTATGGTAAGGCCACCCTGGATCTCCCTAACAAGGGAGATTTTAGTGTGAACTTCCCACTAAGAATACCAAGCCAAGTACAAGCACCAAATTCATTTAGGAAGTAGCAGAGTTGGAATGGCTGGTCTCTAAAGGCTCCTTATAATCCTACATGTCCCTGGCTTAATCATTTGAAAGAATGATTTAAATCTTTATGCAAAAGCAGTTCGCGATGTGGAGACACTGGGCCTCCATACAGTGCTGGTGGGAATGTAAAATGGTACAGCTGATTTGGAAACAGTCTGGCAGCTTCTCAAAAGCTTAAATACTTATTATATAACTCAGCAATTCCACTCCTAGGTATACGCCAAAAAAACCTGAAAACATATGTCCACACAAAAACCTGTACACAAATGTTCCTAGAAGCATTATACATAATCTCCAAAAGTAGAATGAACCCAAACATCCATCAGTTTGGATGTTTAAATAACATCCAGTTTGGACGTTTAAATAACATCCAGTTTAAATAACATCCAGTTTGGATGTTTAAAGAATGAATAAAATATTGTCTAGACAGTGAATTACTATTCCACAATAAAAAGAGATGAAGTACTGATATGATGTGACAAGATAGATTAACTTTGAAAACATTATGCTCAATGAAAGAAGCCAATCACAAAGATGAAGGGGTGGCCTGCCCCTCCACACCTGTGGGCGTTTCTCGTCAGGTGGAACAAGAGACTTGAGAAAAGAAAGAGACACAGAAACATAGAGACATAGAGAAAGGAAAGTGGGCCCAGGGGACCGGAGCTCAGCATACAGAGGACCCACGCCAGCACCGGTCTCTGAGTTCCCTCAGTATTTATTGATAATTATCTTTACCATCTCAGAGAGGGGGAAGTGGCAGGACAATAGGGTCACAGCAGGAAGAAGGTCAGCAGAAAGACATGAATAAAGATCTCTGTGACCTGAGTAAGTTTAAGGAAAAGTGCTGTGCTTTGATGTGCATATATGCAAACATCTCCATAAACATTTTCAGTGCATAAAGAGCAGCATTGCCTGCTAGCACGTCCCACCTCCAGCCCTAAGGTGGATTTTTCTCCTATCTCTTTTCTCCTATCTCAGTAAATAGAACATACAATTGGGTTTCATTCCATTGCCTAGGGATGGGCAGGAGACAGATGCCTTTCTCTACCTCAACTGCCAAAAGGCCTTCTTTCCTCTTTTACTAATCCTCCTCAGCACAGACCCTTTACGGGTGTCAGGGCTGGGGGACGATCAGGTCTTTCCCATCCCATGAGGCCATATTTCAGACTATCACATGGGGAGAAACCTTGGACAATAACTAGCTTTCCTAGGCAGAGGTCCCTGTGTGTAGTGTTTGTGTCCCTGGGGACTTGACATTAAGAGAATGGTGATGACTTTTAACAAACATACTGCCTTTGGGCACTTGTTTAACAAAGCACATCCTGCGCAGTCCCAAATCCACTAAACCTTGAGTCACCACAGCACATGTCTCTGCAAGGACAGGGTTGGGGGTAGGGTTACAGATTAACAGCATCTCAATAGCAGAAGAATTTTTTTTTTTTCCTTTTTTTTTTTTTTTTTT